ACCTGTTTATAAGAATGTCCTTTTTCTTTGGAATTATAGCTGAAGAATTTAGAGGTAAAGGGACGAGATGCCTATAGCAGACTCTCAAATGATTATATATTTGAGAGAGAATGATAAAGCAAAGGTGATACAATGTTAACAATTGGTGAATGTGGTTGCCCCCTATATGGGAATCCCTTTTACCTTCTGTGCAACATTTTTGTTAGTGTAAACTTATTTAAAACATACACATACCTCATCCAAATAGACATTTATTAATTTATTTATTAAAGATATTTATTCTACTTTTGACATGTACATTTACATTGTACAGCGTGATATTTAGTTAGTTGTTAAGTTACATTGCCCAAATATCCAATTTTCTCTAAATTCTACTTAATTGAAATTTTACAATGGACACAATCTAAAATTTCTATCTTTTGATAAATATTGGAATAAATTAATTCAGTAACTTATTTTGGAAAGATTAGAGAGAAAATGTTTGGATGATTATCATATTGAAAGAGATACAAGCATATAATAAATTTTTGTTTGAAATGAAATTTACTAAGCTATTTGTGCCTTGTCTCAGTGAATTCTCTATGAAAAGAAATGATGGAAGGTTGAGAGCTCCACAGTCTCTCTGTTTCTCTCTCACATCTATTTTTTTTATTATTCCCACAAGTTTACTGAGTACATTTGACATGCTAAAAACTAGTATTTAACAATTTGCTACTAATATCAGGATGTCTCTCTATTAAATTGATCCAGGAGCTTAATATGAGAGTAACAGGACATTTGTTTCAAAATTAACTTATGAACAAGTGTCACATCTGCATATCTTCCTTAAAATACATGTAAAGGCAGAAAAGCAAAATATTCAAGAAGAAGGAAAATTCTAAAACTGCAAGCTATTATTTTGGGTGGCGTGTTGCACACTTATTTGTTATTCCATCATTTACTGACCATCGGGGAATGACAAGAACATACGTCCAGTGTGGGTACCAGAGCCTGCACGTGGCACTTCATTTAGCGTTGAAAGTGTGCAATGAAGTTGTCCTGTCTTGTACAATTTTATGTGACCAGATATGTACAGGCCTGAATTCACACAAAGACTGCTTTTTCCTAATCAATGACAATTTAAAAAGAGATTCAAATAGATGATCAGAGCACTTTCTCCCAAGGTATATATTTTTTTTTTTTCTTAAAAAGAGAGAGATGCTATTATCCGAAATTAGCAAATTGGAGATCTTCAAAGCATACCACTTTTTTCTGCATATTCTAAAAAAATTGGAGTGAAATTTTACCTTCCTGCAGTGCATTCTAATAAATTAACTTTGCTTGATTAAGCTTTGGTAGTATTTTTGGGAACTCAACGATGTGGAAGTGCTACCAAGATCCATGTAAGAAACCCTCATTGCCGCAGCCAGAGACCCTCCACTCTAAATCAGTGTGCTCCATGGAGCATCCCAAAGTCTGCTGCGTGGGGGCATCTCTGATTGCAATAGTGGGCTAGGGGTTACCTTGGGTCTGACCTCTGATTACACAAAATGCTAAATTAATTTTGTCTCCTAGGAAATTAGATCGCTTTTAAGTATCGTTTGATTATGTGATCAGATTTGAAAATCTTTTCCTTGGTGGAAAATTTCCTTTTTAGTGACAATAAGACTATTTTCTCTGTCTCTCCTTGTCACTATTTGTTGTGATTCTATTAGAGGGAGTCCATAGAGAATAAGATGGGCACAGCTGCCGTGGAGTGTATTCTTGGAGTCAGTCCTGGGACCTGAGGAATTCAGGTTTCTCCTCAGAATGGCGTCCTTTGACACACGTTGCCTGTGGTCACTTGTCAAAAACCTTATGAAAACCTGACCTATGCTTGCCTTTTTTTTTTTTTCTTATCCCATGGGAGTCTGGTTCTGGAAAAGATCTCTGCAAACCTGTCATCTGCTGGGAAATGCATCTTTTTCAGGTTACAGTGGTAGGCGGCCCACCATTTAGATTAAGGAGCCCCAAGACATGAGATGCATAAGCAACATGTTCAACTGTTTGTTGCCCAGAATACGACCCATTTTTAGAGGTACAATCAGCCCAGATGGCAGAATTTATCACACTCACCAGAGCTTGACAACTAGCAAGTGCTAATCATGGAGTTAATACATGCCCTGAGAACAGGTCTGCGTCTGGAGCAGTCCATGACTTGGGAATGATGGAAAAATTAGAGGTTTTTCCTTTTACCTCTGGCCGAATCTCAATTTAGAATGATCAACCCATTTAAGAACTTTTAAGTGCCTTAATGCTTTCTACAAAGGCGACTATTATACAAATACAAGTCCATACCTTGAGGCTAAAAGAAACACCCTGGCTGATTGATCACATCTGAGAGGCAGCCCGCAGTAAAGTACTGGTCCACTTAATACCTCAAGAAGCCGATTATTTAGACAGATTCAAAGTCACTGCTATAAAATACCAGCAGTTGACTCCAACTTCAAAAAAAAAAGAGTTAATCTGGTTAAAAATCTGGTAGGAAATTGCACGAGGATAACTTGTGGCTCTTTCAGGACAAGTTCTTTCTCATGCCAGACATCACAAAAATGTCCCCACCGAGAGAACAAATTGGCCAGTCTACTAAAGCAACCATTGCTGTGGAACTTTTACAGAAGTGGCAAGGGGTCTTTTGTGCATGCGTCAAACATTAAGAGCTCAGGTTTTCAATATCATGTGATCCGAGTTCCAAATGAAGTGTAATGAGGCCATCAACACTGGGACCTTTTAGATGGAACCTGAAAATGTGTTGCTTCACACAGTGGCTCAGTATGGGAATGCACAATGGGAAAGCAAGGAAAGAAAGAAAAATATACAAGATACACATTTTTATTAAACATATATACGCACATAATTTATAAGTCAAGACGTAATAAAAAAAATTTGTCTGCTTCCATCCACCCCTAATTCCTTCTCCCAGAGGAAACCACTTTCTGTTCTTTTCTAAGTTTGTCTCCATATTTCTAAATGATGTAATTTTACTGTTATATTTTAATTTTTCAGTTTAGGTATTAAAATATTTAGCTAAAGAAACTTAGCTCTTTTACATGCATCCACCACCCCCACTATTTTCTCTCTTCCCATCTTCTCATTGTACTTATATCACAATTGATTCAATAAGTATTTAGTTTTGACAGTATTATTACTTTTTAAATATGTCTCAGCTGAGCGATTTGTTGTGTACATATTTTTTTCTTGTCTCTTACAAAAATGTTCTACATTTTCTACGTACCTATGACTAATTCATTTCCAAATATTCTGCCACAACTGTGGTATCCTCTCCTCGTATCCGAAGAGGAGGTGTGTTCTGTTGTGTTTTGAGACATTTCTGAGGGACGCCCGTCCTTCTGCTCCAGTTTGCACCGCTTGCTTTCCATGCTTACTTCCCAGCTGGGGTCCTGAGACTTTGCGCTTCACTTGATCTTCCTGAGAGTTCCTTTTACCTCTTTCCTTTGTTGGATATTCTGTGTCCTGGATACAATGTTTATTTTTTTCTTGGTTTATACTCTGCTGGAGTGTATATCCTACAGGAGCTTCTTGAGAAGGATTGTAACTTTACTAGTGCCTTCAATTTTTGAGATGTTCTGAGGTTCGTCTTCTTACTGGCTTCCGCCATGGTCTTTCTTAGCTCTCAGCTTTCTCTAACAGCAATGCCAATTACTGCTCGTTCTCTTTCTTTCTAAGATCCAAAATGTTGTCACATCTCTTACCTGCTGTTGTTTCCTATCCTGTTCTTTTATCTTTATACGTTTATGCATATTTTGTTCCCTTGCTGTCCTCTTAGTGGGGATTCAAGAGGGAGCTGGTAGCTGCACACTTGTTCAATATCTGCATCGGCCAGACATCTCTCATCCAATTTTAGGTACCAGAATTCTGGAATGACTAATACAAAGGTGAAGGGCAGAGATAGCTTAGGAAAAAAAAGTCATTCAAGTGGCCAGTTGATGCATTAAATTGCTACCGCCAGATGGAGATTATGCATGCCTCACTATTATGCATATTATGGTTTTTCTGACCTTATTTCATTGTTTAGCTTCACTAAACAAAATGGACACTAGATGGCTCTATAAAAGCATATATATTCAGAATATTCCATTTAATTCAAAAATTTGAAGGCATCATAAAATCTTTTATAATAAAAGAAAATTTAAATATTTTTTTAGTTATAAGAAAGTGAGTTTAAAACCACTACTTGCCATTAAGGAATGAATTCAGAAACTTGTAAATTTTCTACGTGTTCTTTGATGTCAGTAAATATTTATGAATATCTGCCAGCTGCCAGGTATATGAGAGTGCTGGGGCTGTAGGGATAAACAAGATGGGCACGGCTCTGTCCACGTGAAATTTACTGGCAACAAGAATTCAGAAAGGAAACAAATAATTTTATCAAATATGCAAAGTTTTGTGAAAATGTATAAGATGCTATTTGGCATATATATCAAGATTCCTGAGGTAGACAGATCAAGGAGGGTTTCTCTGAGCAGGTGAGCCCAAACTGAAGTCTGCGGGATGAATAGACTGTGAGAGCAGCAGCCTGAAAAGATGAGTCTTCCAGGCTGAGGGATGGTGCAGTTAAGGTCCCAATGACATGAGAGACAGCATGAAACTGAGAGAAGGCCAAGCTGCCACATCAGGAGCAGAAGTGCACAGGGGGAGAATGGGACAAGACGAGGCTGATGAGGTCCACAGGAGCCAAGTCATGAAAGGTCTTGGATTTCATGTTGAGTCCAGGAGAGGTGGGAAGCTCTGCCGTGTTTTAAGGCCACGAATCATGTGATTGAATTTAGTTTGTGTGTCTGTGTGTGTGTGAAGAAGATTGGCCCTGAGCTAACATCTGTTGCCAATCTTCCTCTTTTTGCTTGAGGAAGATTGTCACTGAGCTAACATCTGTGCCCATCTTCTTCTATTTTATGTGAGATGCCACCACAGCATGGCTTGACAAGTGGTGCTAGGTCTGCACCCGGGATCTGAACCTGTGAAACCTGGGCTGCTGAAGTGGAGCATGTGAACTTAACCACTACACCACCAGGCCGGACCCCCAATTTACATTTTTAACAGGTAACTTGTCATCCTGTCTGGTATGGATTAGATTTGTAAAGTTTCCAACTTTTCTCTAGTTGTTCAAATCATTGGATTAGTGCCGGTCACCAAGGAGTAGTTGAAATCAGCATATAGAAGCACTGGCTTTGGGGTCTAACTTAGAATCTGGTTAGGGTTGTAGATGTCCCCAAAATGAAACAATCAAGGGAAACTGGAAGAGGAACATGCATGAATGTACGAGTATATATTGTATGTGTGAGTAGGCATGAATGTAGGAATATACATTTATATATATATATTAAGCACCACAACTAAATGCTCACAATCACTATAACCTATGTTGTGATTGTTTTATTTATTCCTAATATTGCTTTATCTTCAACTGACATTTACTTTGGGTTATATCATGAGATGTGAATGGATTGAGAATGAGTTACGCTGGCATCACTTTGCCTCCTTTCGGTCACTTCTCTTACATGATGGATGACGTCATGTCGTCCTCTGCTGCGCGTTTGTGGCTTAGCCTTCATATCTGAGCCTCCATTTCATCTAAGTGAATGACTCAAGCAGTAGGAACACATTATAGAATTTTCTTGGAAATTTTACAGTTGGAAAGGACTTCAGTGATCATCTTTTTCATGGGTTTCGCACTGTGTTTTGTGGAATCTTAGGTAGCTCCTTTAGGGTGTCTCAGAGCTGCCTGGCTGGGACGCAGACGTGGGTTGAGGCTGGCAATGCTCTGCCTGCCTCCCGCGTTCACTGGAGAAGCCTGCTCACCTGTCGAGCTTTTGTGCAACATTTTGTTTGGAGAAAGCTTAATGCTGCTACAAAGTTGGAAAATCTCTCATCTTGTCCATACACTAATTTTCATGGGATGACTCTGAGGACAGGATTGTAAAAGCATTTTCCCAGGTCTTAATGAAAGAAGCAGGATTTTCCCCTAACATGTGGTGTAAGTAACCCACTAATGCCATTTCCCACACAGATAGGCTGGTGTGTAAATGAATTGGCATGAGTTGTTTACTGAGAAGCCCAACCATTTCAATAAGAAACATAGAGTTTGTAGAGAAAACTGGAATTAAGAGTTACACAATAGGGCCATGAAAGAAAAATATTATGCCAGTGTGTGATAAAATAATCTTCTTGCTTAAATTATACTGCTTTGTTTAGGTCTATGTTTAAATATAACAGCATTTACCATAATCCCTTACAGATAAATAGATGTCCAATAAACTTTTTCTAACTATTTTCAGAAATATTTAGAAGGAAGCTGCACAGGAATTAGCAGAAAAGAAGGAGCAAAATATTTTTCAGTAAGAATTAGCAAAAGAATTAATTAACCCCCATTTAGCACACTATCTCATTTTGAAGTCACCGTGCAAATGTAAGGACGTGCCTACCATTTTCAGGTTAGTAAGACGTGAAGATTCAAATGCTGGAATATCAGCAGAAATTCTCATTTTTCTAGGAGGAAATGGATTTATTTTTGGTAGTTTCAAAGGTCTGGTTAAGAGCACCATGAAAGATTGGTGGAGGCCTCCTGTGGGCAGGAATAGTAATCAGAGAATTTAACCACCAGTAGGATGTGAGCCTAAAGCAATCAGAGTGGTTGTTGGCAGTAGGGCTGGAGCGGGCGTTTGGGGGTCCTCTGCTGTATCAGATATTACCTTTGCAGTTGCTGGATGCTGGCTGGAGGAAGGGATGCAGGACTCAGGATGGTAACCATTTGCCAAGTATTATAAAAATATTTCAGTGTACTGATGTGTGCTGGCTGAGATTTAGCCCTTGTTATGGGAATAAAGAGTCTCTCTTTGAAGAGTGCTGTGCTGGAAATTTATCTGGATCCACCATATTTGTTTCTTAAATCTCTCCTCCTACCCATTTGTGCACTTGTGCAAAATCTGTTCTTGAGTTTGCTCTTCGAATGCAGACATCACTCCTCAGGACCTCTGCTTTGCCTCTCCCTCTCATCTACTAATATCTTAGGCTTTGCTAAATCAGCTGCCTCTGCTATGCCTAGTGACTGACCTCAGGTCATTGTGCTTGATCACTTTAGGATAATTTTGGTCGCTCAAAGAATGCTATCACACTATCCAATGTAAGGTGAGGAAAATACAGAGACAGTGCAGGGACCTTTGAAAGTTAAAAGGGAGGTGCTTCAGATGCAATTAATATTTATGCTCTGGTAAAATACTTAAATGATCTGGGAGACAATAAGTGGTATTGAATTTAGACCCTCTTTTCAAAATAAAAAAAAAGACGACAAGCCTCTGGGGTTGAATAAAATTTAAGATTATTTAATTAACTTAAGGATACTTAAAAGTATATTTCGTTATTAGATTATTTTCAGCCTTGCTTTCATTAAACACTTCCCAACCTACCTGATCATAAAAATCATGTATGGTGCTTATTAAAAATACCTATTTCCATGTCTACTGAATAAGAATTTCCAGGGAAGGACCTGGAAATGTGAATATTAAGACACACCCCGATTAAATCTTATGAACAAATAATTTGGGAGACTCTGTTCTATCTTATAGATCATGTTGTCATAAGGCAGTGTTGAGGAACCATCAGAATATTCAGTAGGATACTCAGAAAAAACCTTGCTGCTAAATTTATAGAAGTAATACTTTTGTAGAAAATGCATTAGTGCTTTAATGTATCAATGTGTTAGAATGATATAAGAAAAAAATTGTGAAAGGCTTAGAAATGGACAGAAAAGATTGTTGGATGTGCTCAATGGAAAATTAGGCATGGTCTACCATGCAATTCCAGGTTATGTATTGTAGATCTAAAACTATTTTACAATTTTATAAGTAGGAGAATACTGATAATGATGTGAAGGATTCTTTTCCATAGAAAGGCAAATTGTATCCCATGGAGATGCAGTTGATTATTATTATAATTATAATGCTATAATAGGACATTATTATAGGACAGTAGGACAATAGGATATTATAATAGGACAATGATTATTGTCCTATTGATATTGGCCAATTTTTCATGGTTTAATCATGTTTATTTCAACATTTCTCTTTCTCTCTCTTTTTTGGATTATCTTTCAAAAAGTTTGTAACATCTTACTCTTTTCCTCAAGAACTAATGAGTCAAATATCTTTGAGACGCGTTCGTTTACTATTTATATGACATTCATAACTATGTTCTCTTCTAAAAATTATCAGTGAACAGTATGCTACCCACATCTTTTTTATCCACCCTAAGAAGAACAAGAACCAAGCCAACAGTCCCTCTAATATTGGTTTTCCACAGGTATCATGTACCCAAAGAGTATGCATAGTGCCTAGTTGAAATTAATCAACCACCCTGGAACTTTCCTTTTAAAAAGGACATAGAGTATTACAAGTTTTCAGGAACAGAGAAAACAGTTCTGGAGGCAAGGCTAGTCTAGAGATTTTCTGCACTATATTAGACAACATCACACATGACAGTTTTCAGAGCAAGAGGATTACTGTTAAGTTACTGCATGGAAACCTAAACTGGGTCTTCTCACTTTTGTCTCTTTTTCCTGCCCTGGAAGAGAAAAACTCCAATATGTGCCCTCGTCTGGGTTGCCCAAGAGTAAGTAATGCATCCTCGATTTCATATTATTTAGTCTTTCATAGGTACATTTTGTGCACTCTCTATGGGTCTAGTTCTTGAGCTTGGTGATGAGGGAGATAATAAGACATGTTGCCTACTTTTGACACATAACCCATTATAATATTAATAATAGAGGAAGGTATAAACTATATGGTTACCATAGAAACACCATTAAATGGGCAAGGGGTGTCAGGAAATTGTAACAGAAAAAGTGACATTTAAATATGGTCATAAATTTCTCTCTGAAATAGAATATTTACTTGGTCTTTTAATTACAGAAGTAGTACATGAATACATTCTAGTTGTAAAAAATGTCAAATGTTGAAGCAAGGTCTTTAAGGATGAATTAGGGAGGTAGACAAATCCATGAGTGGGAGGTGGATCTGGAGGGAGAGGATATAACAGGGAGTGGAAACACATGAGCAAAAAGAGATGTAGGACAGCCTGGCGTATTTAGGGAATGTGAATAAGTCATTCGATGGCAGCGGGACACAGAATATTGTGGGGAGTGCCTGGAGATGAGATTGCAATGAAGGCTGAGTCAAGGTTGTAAAGGGCTTTGTATACTGTGATTAGATGTTTAGTTTTTCCCCTTTTAGGCAGAAGAATAACTTGATTGCATCTGTCTTAGAAAGATCCCTTTGGGAATGGACTGACGTAGGGAAGGTCTGAAGGCAAGGAATCTAAAGAAGTTTCATCTGCATAGTTTATTTGAAATCTCACAAAAGTGCGGGCATTGTTATTTCCATTTTCTCAACGAGGAAATCAGGATCTAGAGGAATCAGGTCATTTCTTTCCAAGGTGATGAGCTAGTAAGTGGTAGAATAGGGATCTGCCCTCATGCCTCTAAGCCCAGGTGTCTTGTTCTAATCTTCCTGCCATTCCAGGGAGACGTTATTAGTCATTAGGTGAGAATCATGGAAGGCATGGAAGGCAGGGCAGTGAGCACAAAACAACCACAGACCAGGTAAGGCCAACAGTGTGTTCACAACTGACTAATTGTGGGCCAGCAGTTCAGAGAGTTTTGAGGCTAGAAATGAGAAGACCTGGATTCTCATTCCATCTCTGATCTTAACCAGGTGGGTGACCGTGGGAAGTCACTGAAGCATTTTTGTAATTCCACCTCTTTCTCTGTGGAGTTGGGATGTTGGACTCGTTAATTTCTAGGGTCCCTTCCAACTGTAAACGTCTATGTTTCTTCACAAATATCATGATGGGCTGGCATGTTTGGAAAGAGGGTCACAGAGCGTGTGAGGCTTTTTGTCATTGCCATTTCAATTTGAGATGTGATAACTGTCTTTTCTCTCTTTCTTTGGCATCATCTATGTGCTTTTAATATAGGATATACCACATACATACTATACATTACACTGTAATTGCCTACAGGGGTGATATTAAAAATATTTAATACCTACTTTGGCATAGGCACTAAGGTAATAGAAGGCATACAGCTGTACATAAGTGGAAAGATCATCTGGTGCACACTAGCTGAGTGTCAGTTCTGATGGCTTGCACGTCTGTCTCTCCTCCGGACTGTGAGTGACTCAAGCACAGGAACTGTGTCTTTCTAATTTGGGATCCCAAGTCCTAAGGCAGTGCTCGCCTCACAGTCGGTGCCCAATCAATGTTGTTAGATGAACAAACCATTTCCAAAGTCTCCTCCGTGTTTGACGGGCTCACGTGCTCAGTGCATGCAGCTGTGTTGCACGAGCTTGAAATGAGAGAAAAAGATGCCCAAATAGCCCAGCTTTTAGGAAAAAGCTGCCAATCCCAGGGGCAAACAGTAGCAGAAATTCCTAAAATACTGGGCACTCACTAATTTCCAATGATCTTTTCTTCCTCCCTTATAAAGTCAATAATTTCATAAAACTTGAACTACTTAAATTTCATCCAAAAAAAAGTATTTCAAGGGCAAAAAACTTATTACTTCTTCAAACTCACTTTATAGGCTGTGGCATTTTCCAGTTAATAGTGAAAAAAAAATTGCCAATGTAGGTTTAGTTCTTATCAGCATCTCTGGGCTCCCCTTTCTTAATCTCTTCTTGACGGTTTGTCCCTTCTCTGATTATCTGATCATGTTACTCTGTGATTGTGAGTCTTGCAGAAGCCCAGGATGGCTGAGCCAGCATTTTGAATCTATCTTGGGAGCAGCTATAACAGGAATAAAAAAAGAAAAAAACCTCGCCCAAGACATGTTGGTTAAAACTCCTCTTATTTATACCATGAATTGTACAATCTTTAGTTCCCTTATCGCCCAACCACCCCAGCTACAGCATCAGTGCCTGGATTAGACTGATAAAACAGCTCTATTGTAGACATGGAGCTCCAAACCAGTGTTTAGAAAATGTTTGTCTTTAAAGCTTAATGACTCCGTGGTTTTTTTTCTTTTAAGTATACTTTTTTGTTGAGGAAGATTGGCCCTGAGCTGACATCTGTTGCCAATCTTCCTCTTTTTTCTTTTCTCCCCAAAGCCCCAGTACATAGTTGTATATCCTTGTTGCACGTCATTCTAATTCTTCTTTGTGGGATACCTCCACAGTATGGCTTGATGAGCAGTGTATAGGTCCACGCCCAGGATCTGAATTGGTGAACCCCAGGCTCCCGAAGCAGAGTGTGTGAACTTAACCACTCAGCCATGGGGCCACCCACTTCTTTGCTTGTTTTTAATTTTATGATATGAGGTCACTTTGTCCATTTCTATTTTGTATTACAATATTTAGATTTCCTGTAATATAAACACTTGTTAATTTTTTTTAACAGGATTTAAATATGCTCCAATTGTACATTTTTAGTATCTATTAGGACTTTTTCCCAAATACACTTGGTTTGTCCATGTTTTGAATTAGTTGCATGTTTGTGAGCTGAAGCATGATGACGGATGTGTGACATGTGACAGAGAAGTATATAGGGGCGTCATTAAAAGCATGGGGTCTGGAATCCACAACCCAAATTCAAATCCTGGCTTTGCTCTCTCTCCTCCCCCGCCCCCAGCCCCCAGGTTGTACATCCTTGAGCAAGTGACTTTATCTAAGACTCTGTGTACTGGTATTTAAAGTGGGTAGTAATGATACCTAAATCATAGAATTCTTCTAAAGCACTTAGCACAGGATTGGGAACACAGTAAGCTCAAAATAAATGTTAGCTTGAAAAGTAAAAACATAATGACGGTAAAGCTCAGATATATACATATTAGATGTAATATTATCACTACTCAGCAAAAAGTCGTGCTTAGTGATTTCAAAATTCATTTAATAAGTGAATTCTATTCCTTAATGTTGGTCGATTCCTTCCTTCCCCACTTTATTATTATGTACAGGACACTGTGGATACAGACGTAACCCCAGTGGGTATTGCCTGCCTCCACCCAGTCCAGTGCTGGAGTTCCGCTTCCTTTACTATTGAAATAGCAATGCCTTGAATCCTTCCTGCCATGATGAGATACCCGGTATCTCTCTCATGAAAGTTTTTCTATGGTTCTTTCTTCCTCCTACTCGTAATTCTTGAGTTGTTGGCTGTACTCATATCTTGTCCTCTATTCCCGATCTTTTCTCTACACTCAAGTCAACCCCAAAGGGTCAGAGCCCTCCCTTTTCCTTCATTTCCTCAAAACACTACTCACAGAAGGCATTTGCGTGTGTCAGATTTTATTTTCTGAAGGATTTTCTGTATCTTGGAATAGTGCGTTGGATGATCCAAAATGGAATACTTCATATTTTCTTCCTTCTTTCTTTCCTCCTCTTTTCACTGCAGGAAGCTGACTTTGTTCCTGAATCTCCTGTCCTCTTGCCTGGGAGCTGCTCCACTCTCTCCAAAGGCTCCCAGCCCATCAATCTCCTTCTCGCCCCGGCCCCAGAGCTCCAAGTTTCTCCAACTCCATTATGCGGAATGATTTAGTTCTCTCCACGTTTGTCTTCGCCATTTTGGCCATTGTCTTGGGTGCTTTATTTTCCTAAACAAATGTTTTCTTCTTAAGAGGGAATCTGCTGACGGCTTTTAAATAATATTCCCTCACCACCCTTAACTCAAAGATAAATAAGCTATAATTCTTTCTCTTGTAGCCACAGTTTATTCTCAACAGAGTGATACTTTAAAATTGGGAGTCAGTTCACTTCAGCCCTCTGCTGGAAACTCTGTCTGGCTTCCCAGCTCACTCAGAGCAAGAGTCAAGTCTTTGCAGTGCCTACACAGCCCCAGGGACCTGCCTGGTCATCTCTCTGACTCCATGTCATCGTCCTCTCCTCCTCTCTCATTCTTCTTCAACAGCACTGGTGTCTCTGCTGTTTCTTGAACCTGAAACTTACCCGCCACATATTCACCAAACACATTTTTACCTCGGGGGCTCTGTGCTTCTGTTCCTTCTACCTGGAAAGCTGTTCACTGGAAAGCTCTCCAGAGACAGAGGCAGCAGCAGGTATTAAGGCATAAAAGAGTCAGGTGCTTTTAGGAGCCATAAGGCTTTTAATATGGCCGAGCTTAAGTTCTGTACGTATATTCAGGGCACCATGGTTCCAAGTACTGGCCACAAACCTGGGGCACCAGGGCAGATGTGCGGATAAACGAAGGAAGCTTCAGCACCCGTCTTCCTTCCAAGGACCAGAGAGAGGGCTTATCAATGTGTTTAGAAGGTTGTATATTTTTGTAAAATTTGCAAAAGTAAGATATTTTAACTGCAATTGGTTAAAGCGGTGGTCTCTTTTCATTCTGACTCTCTTTTGTCACACTTCTCGTGTTGAGTAGTGCTGAATGGTCACAGGCAATTTGGGGATCTGCCATCAAGGGAGATAAGCTGGGGACTCTTTTATTTGACTTTAGTGGAATAATATTACATGGTTCCTGGTCGCTTCTGTGTACAGCTAAGTTTTTGCTAGCTATCTCTGAATGACTTCCAGGAATGATGCTGCTGCCAGCTCACGGAGCATCAAGGCACGAAGATGCAGGGCCAGGAGTCAGGCTGAGATATGAATGTGTCCTTTCGTGCC